CTCCAACATCAGCTCTTAGCAAACGACTCTGCTTCTGTTTGGCGTGGTATTTATTCTATAAACAAATACGGCTGCCTGCTGGTAAGGACAGTTATTGCCACTCGTCGACTGAAGTCTTTGCGGTGGCGGCGTAGGCGGGCGGCGTAGCCGACGCGGGCGACGTAGCGGACGTAAAAGTCGGGACGCCTTCGGTACGCGTTCTTTGGTCTCAGGTTGGTGTGTAGCGAGCGGCCTTTACACAGATCACAAACTACATGCCAAAAGCCTCCCTCTCCATGAACGACCGACGCCTTGCAAACGATCTGAATCAGTTCTACTGCAGATTTGAAGACAAAGAGTTCAGTCCTGACACCATCCCCCATGACACCTCTCAACAGCTTCAGGTGCTGCTCACACGGGAACGTTTGCGTTTATGCACAGTATGCGTTTTCAAAAAAGTCTTCCGTTCACACGCATTCGATTCATTTAACGTGTCCGTTCACACGACACCGCTGGAAACGCTGTAGTACATATGCCAGGCCTGTAAGTGGCGCTGCTGCCGCCACAAAATACACCAAAAGCAGCGAAGAAGACCCCGGAGCATGGTTGCCCTTCTGTTTATTCTCCGCAGTGGACGGCGTGTGCTCCTGCTGTAAAGATGAAAATCACCCACCTCTCCGCCTCTTCCAAGGGACGAGGGAACCGTGCGGCAGAGTTTCCGTTAACATTTTTTCCGCCGGTCAACATGTCCGTTAAAAGTCTCGGTTCCCAAGAAAACAAGGATCACAGGATTAAATGACTACAGACCCGTCGCCCTGACCTCTGTGGTTATGAAGTCCTTTGAGCGCCTTGTCCTGTACTACCTGAAATCCATCACAGACCCCCTCCTGGACCCCCTGCAGTTCACCTACAGAGCCAACAGGTCTGTGGACGACACTGTCAACATGGCCCTTCACTTCCTCCTCCAGCACCTGGACACACCAGGAAACTACTACGCCAGGATCCTGTTTGTGGACTTCAGCTCCGCCTTCAACACCATCATCCCGGCTGTGCTGCAGGACAAGCTCTCCCAGCTGCACGTGCCCGACTCCACCTGCAGGTGGATCACAGACTTCCTGTCTGACAGGAAGCAGCACGTGAGGCTGGGAACACGTCTCATACACCCGGACCATCAGCACCGGTTCCCCTCAAGGCTGCGTTCTTTCCCCTCTGCTCTTCTCCCTGTACACCAACAGCTGCACCTCCAGTCACCAGTCTGCCAAGCTCCTGAAGTTCAGATGACACCACCCTCATCGGACTCATCTCTGGTGGGGACGAGTCTGCCTACAGGTGGGAGATAGACCAGCTGGTGACCTGGTGTGGGGAAAACCACCTGGAGCTCAACGCCCTAAAAACAGTGGAGATGGTTGTGGACTTCAGGACGAACGCAGCCCCACCTGCCCCCATCACTCTGTGTGACTCCCCAGTAACTGCTGTGGAGTCTTTCTGCTTCCTGGGCACCATCATCGCCCAGGACCTCAAATGGGAGCAGAACATCTGCTCCCTCATCAAAAAAGCCCAGCAGAGGATGTTCTTCCTGAGGCAGCTGAAGAAATTCAACCTGCCAAAGACGATGATGGTGAACTTCTACACCTCCATCATGGAGTCCATCCTCACCTCCATCACCATCTGGTACGCCGCAGCCACAGCCAAGGATAAGGGCAGGCTGCAGCGGGTCATCCGCTCTGCAGAGAGGGTGATCGGCTGCAATCTGCCATCCCTCCACGACCTGCACGCCTCCAGGACCTTGAGGCGGGCAGGGAAGATAGTGGCCGACCCCTCCCACCCTGGACACAAACTGTTCACCTCCCTCCCCTCTGGCAGGAGACTGCGCTCCACCCGGACCAAAACCTCTCGCCACCTGAACAGTTTCTTCCCCTCCGCTACCGGCCTCTTAAACAAGGCCCGGCCCCCCCCCACTGACACTTTACCTCTGCCACATCATAGTCTATATGTATTACATTAATGCACACAATGTTCATACTCCTTTCTACACATATTCTTATTATTTCACATTTCATAGTTTATATTCTAAAATTCATTCATAGAATTCTATTTCCATGTAAATTACTGCTTTATTTAATTTGTATTGCTATTTAACTGTAGTTTATTACGGTGTAAAAGATTTTGTGTTTTATATTAGATTTCTTGTTTTTTTATATTTTATGTATGCACCATGACATCAAGTCAAATTCTTAGTATGTGTGAACCTACCTGGCAATAAACCTGTTTCTGATTCTGAAGATCTTAAAATAAATACAAATGTATTTATTATAAACGTTAGTCCTTAACATCTATCACTGTGTATATCACCATTCAAATATCTTTTCAAAGTTTAACAAACCCCACACAGCTCAGTAAAGACTGTGAAATGTTGACTTTATTTGATCAGGGAGTCCACCCTGGCAGAGGGTGTGCCTATTGTTCTATAGCTGTGTGCCAATTGGTCCATTTGGATTTAGTGACGCCAATAGGCCCCGGAAGAAGAAAATGGAAAAAGAGAAATTTTCAAAGAGGCGTTCTGGGGCAGCATAGACACGTCTTTTCTGTGTTAGAGTTTTACTCACTACAGGGTGTACTTTGATTTATGATATATGATGGGACCTTTAATTGGGAGTTATCTCCTTGAAAAGGACTTACATTATAAAGCCAGACAAGCAGAGTGGCCGTCAGCAGATAAGAATAATGAAAGATATCACACACAATATTAGAGAAAATCAAAGGATGGTACACAGCAAGTATATGAGTTGAAGCTTGAGGGGAGAAGACAGAGCAGACAGAACCAAAATTAACTCAGAAAGGGAGCTTGAATCGGAGCTGCGGAGGTGAGGGATCTCAGGTCCTCGCGGTGTTATCACATTGCTGGAGGAGAATCAGCTAATAATGGCTGGGTGTAGCTGCTCCCATGGCAACCAAGACGCCAAGCAGACTCCTGCAGAGTCTCCTCAGCACTAATTAAATGCCTTGTTCTCCCCTGCTGTCACCTCCTTGGCCTCCAGCCTTCCCTCCTCACTCAGCGGCACAGAAACACTCTCCCAGGAACTGGTGGAGAGAAACTATTCCTCTGCTCAGCACAGCCAGAGTCCTCGCAGATTCAGGATAAAGAGGAATGAGGCAGTGCTCATTGAGTCATAGACAAATAATGAGACTAACCCCGAAGATCAGCTGTGAATGTCTGTTGTCATATTTCATAACGTCATCACCATAAAAAAAATGGGCCGGATAGTTGGTTGTTATATTTATGTAATTCATGGTGCTGTTTAATTGCTGCTAGAATGCCCCAGTAATGAAGCTGCATGAATCCCTTTATGTGCAGAGAATAGGAATCACTTGAACATGTGTATTGTTGAAAAGGCTAAATGACAACAAATATATAATTTTTAAGATAAAGAATTATTAGGAATTGTGTATACATCTGTCTTTATTTTGACTTGACTTGATATGTAGTTGTTGGAAATCTGGAATCTGTATAAAGTATAACACGTATATTGTAGGTGTAGCCTAAGCTTATCTTTCTCTATGCAGAAATACCAGGTTTACACAGAATAAATAGATGAATGTGTGTGTTTGTAAAGGTGTTGTAATTCCTGTAGTTGCACGGCACTCGGCTGAATTCATTCTCCTTTTTGTCTAACACCCTTTGTCAGCACAAAGCTGGTATCATTTTACATTTGTCCCAGTTTCTGCAGGACTGTTGTTAACCTACTCTGCAGCCTGCCTGAGCACCAACATCAGGACATGTGTAGGAAAGAGGAGTTTGGATGGGGCTTTATTATTCTATTCAAAAAGGGTATGCACCAGATTGTTTAGGTATTTAGTCGATGAGGCATGGAAGCACAGATGATGTCTACAGTAGTCTTTATTTGGTTCCCGAACGAGATTGTGACTAACGGCAAATGTAAACAGGATCTGTCCACGCAGCTGTCAGAGACAATCCGGCTCTAGGTGATCACAAACACTGTCATGAATTCATGTGTGAAAGGTTACATCAGATCTGTGTGAAGCTATGAAGAGGATATTTAGTTTGTATCTTCGACAAAGAGTAGGCTTCACTTGACGATAAAGACAAATGCTTCAGGTTCCACATTATTTATGGTTCCATCGCCCTTTTTCAAATGTTGCTTTTATTTTACACCAACTTCATAACCTCAACCAAGCCTAATAATGCAATATTTGAAGTTATTTTGTGCAGTTTTGTTATGCAGAAATGGAATCTGTGCACAGAAATAGCTGGATGAGTGCACATATACACGCTTGAGATGATGAGGGGTTTGTGCTTGAGCCCATTCACCCTACAGTGAAACACATGCAGGTCATCAGCCAGTTGTTCATTGTCTGCAGTGTGAGGGGATGGCTTCCTGTGTGACTCGGCAGTGAGCTCATCCAGGTCAGCAGTGCACTCAAAGCAGGCAGTATTTCATGACGGAAGATTCCCAATAGTTAAATCTGATTTTATTTTTTTTAGAAGCGGAGGACGTGAGACCAAATGAAGAAAAACTCAAATGAGTGCAGAGGAAAAGCTGCCATCTGCACAACCATCTTGCGTCATGATGAACCAACACAAACATTTCAAAATAGATGAGACGGGCTGCATTTCTAAAACTTTCAGCACCGTTTCCTTCTAAAAAAAAGAACTATGACTGTTCTGAAATTGTACAGGAAAACCATTAATATGACAAGTTCCAATGTTGAAGCTACCTTAATTTATGTTTGGAAAGTGTTTCAGTTTCAAGGTTTGCTTATACTGGTTTGACAATGCAGGAATCATAGCTCTTTTTATACCATCTTAACTGCAAGAAAACTATAAGGAATAACTTAAAGTCAGCCATTAGCATCCGTTTTTGTTTTAATTCATATCTGAAAATCTATGGACTGGATGCTTTGCAAGTTTTCTGCAAGCTGTAGAGCAGCAGAAACTAAACTGTTGTTTTGAGAATGAAATACATATCCATCTTCATACATAAATGAAGCACAGCACCCACCCAAAACATCCAGGGAGCTCTGGTGGTTGGAGATGATGACGTAGGGACCCTCGGTCTGCAGATGTTCCCAGCCGCTCACATCAAACCGGAGACCCAGGAAATACTTGACATGACGAACCAAGGAGCGGATAAGCCTGGGGGGGGGGAAAGAGGTCATTACAGTCCAGAATAAGTATAGGTTACTGCATGTGCAGCATGGGCTACATATTATTAACCCAGGACCAATGTTGGAGGAAACAGTAGGCTGTAGAAAGCCTGTTAAATAATAAGGTATTAAGAGAAAAATAATCCCACTTCAAATATTTAAATATTAACCTAAATCCGACAATCAGGACTGTCTTAAAAATACAGGATATCTGCTTAATTAACTATGTGCCACACCCCCATCAGCTTTGTTTGTTTCTTGGTTGGTTAAATCATCGCCTGCAGTAAGAACAACGCTCCAATAAGCTTTAAAGAAAATATCTTCCCATCTGCCCCTGAAATAAAACAAAACACACAATTAAAGTTACTCTAGTGATGTTTCTGATTTGATCAATTCTTTCATTTGTCTGGAACCAAGAATGTTTTTATAGCAGTGGCGTTTTTGCTAGAAGAAAAACAAATCTATATTATCTAATGTCTATATATAGTCTATATTGTGAATAAATCAACTAATCAATGTCTATTTGTAACTCCTACCAACATAATGAAACATATTGAAGCTGCATTTAGCCATTATTTGACTGGACTTCTCTCTATGTGATTTGGTACAATGAGTGACACTTACACATCACAGACAGGCATTTGATCGAATGTAAATATCAAGATCCATTATGAAGCTTTAAGAACAGTGTGCAGGTTAACTATTCCTTAGCCCAATGACATTGGAAACACAGATTTTCACACTGACTTTTCCTGTTTTTACACCTTCCGGTCAGGGTTTATCTTACATTACATTACATTACATTTAGCTGACGCTTTTATCCAAAGCGACTTACAATAAGTACATTCGACCAGGAAGACACAACCTTGAAGAAAACAGAATCATATAAGTACATCAGGTTTCATAGAGCCAAACATTTCAAGTGCTACACAACTGGCTTTAGATAAGCCAGTCCTTTATTAGTATATAAGTGCTTTGTTAATAAATCTATCGCACGAAGTGGAGTCGAAAGAGATGAGTTTTCAGTTTGCGTCTTCAGGAACAAACCACACTTGAACTGTGTAGTGACAAAGAAGATAACAACTCTGTAAAGACATATGCAAGGCCTCTGCTCCCACTTGGAAAAAAGGTCAATGCCTTTCGAAACAACAATGTTCAATGTGACCTGGGTTGCAACCAGAGGTTTTCAAGCTTTTACTTCTAACCACTGATAGGAATTCTCATCAAGCACTCGCATCCATTACATCTTCAGACAAAATCAAAAGGGCTGTTATTTTCAAATGAATCTAAAATCTCTTGTCGTTGTGTTATGATTAAAGGAAAGCCTTGGCATTTTATGTCCAGGCCAACTCCACATTACCAGTCATTGAGCACTCTATTTCTTAGCCTTTATTTGAAAATCACCCTCTTGTCACCAAGGTAGCAGTGGAATAAAATTGTACAAAACTGCTGTAAAATTACTGTTACACTTAGTGTTTCATCTTAAAGGTCTCCTATTATGCAATTTTTAAAATATATTAAAAACATGTCTATCAAGTGTTTTGCTCAAAATACCAGACAGATCCTGCATTTTAGACATTCCTCATATATCCCTCTATTGCAGCCCTGTTAGAGAACTGCAGGTTCGGGGTCCTTAGCTTGAAAAGGAGAGGAGGGGGAGCTTGTGCCTGCTCACAATTCTACGAGACACAGCTAAATGCTGCCGTGATGAAACGCCATATCATGTTCCAAACCACATCAAGGATTATTTCTGAAACAGTATGGAGCTCAAATGCTTTTTCTCTTGCGGGTTTACCACAAGGTGAGTTCCTTTTTTATTTCCTGCTTTTTTTACACATACTCTCTCCAGGACAGATTAGCTCCGAGTGTTAGCGATGCTTGCTAATAATAAAACACGTCGGGCATCGTTTCTGATAGCAACGTTTCTGATAGTGCCGTGGGTCCACATTTCCGATGTTACGTCATATCGGACGCAAATCTGGATCAGCTCCGTTGTTCCCCCGTTTTTAGAGATTTGGGTACGGAGGAAAAGAGAGGGTTTTTACTGACACTTTGTGAGTTCCCTGACACACAGGGGACACATATGTATACAAGACCACACACACACACACACACACACACACACACACACACACACACACACACACACACACACACACACACACAACACACACACACACACACACACACACACACACACACACACACACCACACACACACACACACACACACACACACACACCACACACACACACACACACACACACACACACACACACACACACACACACCACACACACACACACACACACACCACACACACACACACACACACACACACACACACACACACACACACACACACACACACACACACACACACACACACACACACACACACACACAGGCTCCGATGTGTATGGGCTCAGAACAGTCTCATAATACACACATGCACACAGAAGGATTCACACTTGTGTTTTTCAATGCACACACAAATGTGTTCCGTTTCATATACATGTAAATAAAATCCAAATACAGAAAAAAGTTTTACATATGTATTTTTGATCCTCACATATTTGTTTTCCGTTTAAATCCTCTGCACCTGCAAACACAAACCGCTTTCTGTGCACGGATCGCTGTGCATTTGTGTGGCTTTTTTGAGACTCCCCTGACGCTCACCCGATTCGTACTTGTAATTTTTTCTATCTATAGCCAATCAGATGTCTCCTTCATTCTAAGCCAATCACATGAGCGCGCCCCACGAGGGTAGATTTCTTGCGTTCATGACGTAGCGCTTCATGTACGCATTTTGCGCAGTCCGGAGCTGACAGGTCCATGGACCCTGCCTGCAGGCGCTAATCTCAGGACACTTCTACTCTCAGTACAGCGCCACTTTCCGAACAGGAAATGCACGCAAATACAAGCCTTTATATTATTAAGGTACAGCGCCACTTTCCGAACCATTGATGAATGCTTGTGTACACAAAAACAGAAGGCAACACCGTTTTAAATGTGTGTTTCCTGTATGGCGAATACAGCTGCTTTATTTATGTCTGTATGAAGTTGAAGGGGGATAATGACCGCCGGTCATTATCGGCCGATATTCACTCTTAATAGTTTGATCAGTGCTCTCTATAAAGGCCGATCAGGAGAGCTGGATCTGATCGATATGGACATAAACGCGGACGCGAGAGAGAGATCAGATCAGCTGCTGAGTCTGACGGAGACACGCAGCTCTGCATGATCATCTGAAGCTCCGCCCTCTGTTTAGCGAGCTGACCGGACAGCGCAAAATGCGTATATGAAGCGTCATGAACGCAATAAATCATATCCTCGTGGGGGCGCGCTCATGTGATTGGCTTAGAATGGAGGAGACATCTGATTGGCTATAGATTAAAAAAAATTACAAGTACAAATCGGCGGAGTCTCAAAAATCGGCCGAGTCTCAAAAACCCACACACGAATGCACAGCGATCCGTGGAAAACAAATATGTGAGGATCAAAAATACATATGTAAAACTTTTTTCTGTATTTGGATTTTATTTACATGCATATGAAACGGAACACATTTGTGTGTGCATTGAAAAACACAAGTGTGAATCCTTCTGTGTGCATGTGTGTATTATGAGACTGTTCTGAGCCCATAGAGGTGTGGTTAAACTACCCGTCTCGATGTGGACGATGCTCGTTGCCAAAAGTGCAATAAGTGTTTAGCATGTAAGGGCGGTAACACGAGCAATTTGTCTAAACATTTAGCAAAAGCGCACCACACTCAGACGGAGGAATGTACCGGGTTCGACTGTCTTTCTAGTAGCTCTGTAGCCCCATCCACGAATAACATTTCCACGTCAGGTGTTATGTATGCTAGCAGCAACACACAGAGTTAACTCAATGATACAAACATGGGTTAATGATTAGAGGAAACTGAGTTACTTATTTTGTTAAAGTTTCAGCTATTCTGTTTACAGTTCTGTCATCAGATTATTTAATACGATTTGTTAAAACATTGTTGTTTCTTTTGATGTGAAATATTATGTATTTAATTTAAATAAAAAGCAATGTTAATTTTGTTCACAATTTGTTTAGTTAGTTTACCTTATTTTTCCTCTCCAAAAGAACTGATAAAAGTACCGTTAAAAGACCGGACCGATAAGCGGTATCGATACAAGTAGTAGTACCGTTAAAACCTTAACGATGCCCATCCCTAAATATGAGGCACTTAAGGTAGCTTTGGAGTTCATCTTAGCCCATAGCATTTAGGAAGATACAAATACAAAGTTTGATTTTTTTATGTTAGATATGCCATCTTTGCAATTGTAAATTGTCAATTATAACATGATCATACAGGCAAAACTCTGTCTAATTCGGGTGATGCTTTTCAGAGGAAAGAATGTTCCTATTCAAAATTGAACCACACATTTTTGGAAAACAAATGAGCTGTTTTGCATGTGCACCAAACCAAAACAGACTTCGGTTACACCATTAATTCGACCTTCCCTCTGAGGGAAAATAGAAGAGTAACTCACCATCTTAGGTCTCATCTTCTTCAAAAAATACCTCATGTCCGTTCCTCATCAGTGAATCACATCCCTCCTCTCAAACTCCCTCATGTTGTTGATGTAATAAGCTCTAGTTTTAAAAATGCCTTCTACCAATTTTCTTGTAATTTACGGTCTACAATCTTAGACTTAGCCTTTATCTTTGTTAACTTGGAACGCACGCTTTACAACCTTGAAATAATGATGGCAATAATGTAATAATAACTTATAATAAAAAATAGTGGGCTCCATGTTTATTGACAGTTTACAACAGCAATGTGTAAAAACTAATCAACCTTTTTCAATATGCTTTCGCAAATTAAAGAAAATTAAAGGATTAATTAAAGGCTCTTGCTGTGCTAATTTTCTTTGGTTATGCTCCCGATAATTATGGGATTAAAAAAAGCAAAGCCACTTATAAAAGTCTTTGTTTCCCCCTCATGCCAGAGCTGGTTATTAAAATAGACCAAAGAGAACATTTTCCTGGACATAAAGACTTTTTTTAGATACTGTACAGCTGAATGGCTGTGGAGCTATGGATCAGGGTATCAGGGATTTGCAGTTATCTGATACTGTGGTCACTGATCTATGAGTCAAAGCTCACAATGTCAATCAAAGATACAAGAAGCTCCTGAATGCATCACCTGGGCTCGTTACCTTGTGACTCTCCATTGACACTTAAGCTTACCTTGCACATTAAGTATAACATTGACTAGTAAACTATAGTAAAATAACTTGACCTTTGACAGGAATACAGTCTCTAGAGTTATCTTTCAACACAATACATTCAGTCTAGTGCAACAGCCACTGGTTATGCAACGACTCAGCCATGGTTGCAGCAATTGGAGGATTGCTCAAGGGGAATGAAATGGCCTTGGTTCGGTTGGATTATTTTTATTGTCAATCCACTAAACTTTACCTTTGGTTTATTTCATTATTAGTCCCTAAATAATTCCCTTTTTCCTTCAGAGCATAACACCATTGATGCTGATTTATTCCCAGCATTAATTCAATACATCCTGACTGCTCAGGGTTAAAAGGTCAGCCTGTTATCCCTGAAAATACTGTACCGACAGAGATACCGGTGTCGAGGCTAATTCAGGTGCTAAAGGTCCGAGAACTGTTCAGGAAAGTGACATGGTCACATGATCACAAAGACACAGTTAGAGTAATTCATTCAGAAAGATAGGGACATGAAAATGAGTGGTTTACCATGTAGGCTTTAAAGGTCAGTTATCCAACAGCCAGAGTGACAACGTTACTGGTCATACTGACAGCAACACTGGTGGCTTCCCATTGATGATAATACTCCACTCACAATATGGAAACTGAGCCTCTGCCCTTTCATCTGTTGTAATAAGATCCTACCTGATCATTCATATGTAAGCTATAGCAAATATATCAAACAATAAAGCAATCAAAACCATCGTTGTAAGTCTTTCTATTTCTCTAACAATCACCAACTCTAAAAGAGAGACTGAATAAAAAAGTAACCACTGTCAAATTCTGCTTTGAACTGTTAACTAACCCTTAATGCTGACACAACAGAAAAAATATAGATAGGCAGACTCGTCTACTGGCAAAGGGAAATCAGTCTATTGGCTTTTTTTGCGAGTTGTTTAAAAAAACCTCTAAATAAGTACTAATTTAAGTGGGAAACGGGTATAAGTGACAGGTAAAACTTAGCGTCTGTAGCACAAACAGTACCAAGAAACCAAGAAGAGTGTTTCAGGGAATGCATGCACAACATTCACATTCAGCGTCTATGGATGCCTTTCACAAATTGCACATCCAGAGGCCTGTTCTGGCCAACCATTGTTTACTGTGTTACATTCAAGTCCCCAAAGTCAGCTGTGACGCAAGTCGTGAACCCCAGAATTCAAGTCTTTGTGCACCAATCGGACAAGAAATGTCTGTGAAAAAACGACTCCGTCCTGGATGAATGAAAGCACTCTTTATGCTATGGCTGGCTGGTGTAAAATGTGCAAAAAAAACTCTTTTTACTCACTGGGCAAGGTCTGATCCTGCTTTGTCACAGTCAACAGGTTCTGATAACCTTTGAGCTGGCAGAGTGGCTCAATGGTGCTACATGACACCACCACCATAGCTAACATGACTGTGAAACGGTTATTCCTAGAGTAGAGAGCGTGGCAGTGAGGTCTGCTGTTAAAACTGACAGAGCCAAGACCAAGTGAGGAAGCATTGTGCACCATAACTATCCCGTAAACAAACTCTAATCAGGGGGAAATGTGCTATCTGGCACGTAAGGAGGCGTGTGGCGCAGTGGATAGAGCCTTGGTGTTGGGATCAGGGGGTCACAGGTTCAAACCCCACTGCAGTCAGCATGTCGTTGTGTCCCTGAGACACTTCACCCCAAATTGCTCCTGTGGGGATTGTCCACAGTATTGAGTATGCAAGTCGCTTTGGATAAAAGCGTCTAACATGTAAAAAATAAAAATAAATGTCTCTTCAAGGTAATTACTGGAATGCAGTCACTTGAGTTCAGCAATCTGTCCTCACTATCTAGGTAGGTTTAACCACAACATCAGAAATAACCCTGCAACAAAGTAGACACTGAAGGCACACTACATCTATCCTGACAGGTCAGTGTGCGTGTCGGGTAGAAAATAACAAATTCAACCAGTAGTCAAGGGGTCATCCATACCAACTTCTGGATGTATGGAAGTTCATTAAATGAATATAATAAGTAAATATATGTAATGTTGGGTTCACTACTTATTTCTGCTGCAAACAATAGGTCAACATTCAGGCTATTGCAGGTTTAAAATCCAAGAATATAATAGTCACGGGAGCACCAAATGTGGATTAATCCGCAGAGAAAAAAGCCCCGAACACATGCAATGCTTCCTGCTACGTTAGTACTGTTTGGTGAAAAACTGTGTGCTGATGTGAGTTATTTAATCTTCTAATTTAGTCACAAGACATATGTTAAGTGTCTTGTGTGCTATATTAAGGGAAAGTAGAACTGGGACACATAAGGATGACCCCATGACCACTGCCACTAACTATAGCCTCAAGAAAACACCTCATTAATATACTTTCAAGAAAACACCTCATTAATATACTTTCAAGAAAAACACAACATTACAATCTTCATAACACTAAGATTTGTTGCAGGGCTATAGAGTTGGATTGTATATTTAAAGCGCATGTGTGTTTTTTTAACAGGCACACTGAAATCAGTTGAATTTTCAAAATTCCTGAACAGATGTAGCCTCGAAATGTCCACCACAAGTTAAAGAAAAAGGAGCTCTGATACCAGAACTAGCCAAACAATGACAGCCTTGTGATATTCATTAGGCAGACTAGTGTGCTCACCCCCGTCTAACTTGTTATGGCAAGATATTTGACTGGAGGGAAGATAAGTTAACATTCTTACTGCAAATGCAATTACCGTTATCTGAGGCTGGGATTGTTTCACTCACAAAAAACAAGCCGAGACTTGGCTCGCTGTGAGGTTAAATGTTAGCATTCGTGTGTCCAGCTAACGTTAACACGTTCCTTATACCAAGGTGTTAAGGGCGCTAATGTTAGCATATGTATGATTAAAAATGTATATATATATTTTTTTTTTCATATTTCAGACATAATGGTAGACTACAAGCTCCCTTGTGTTACACAGTCGTTATTTTAACATACACTATGCGTCAGTAAGACATTTAAGGTGGCTTGCAAGCATCTTATAAAGTGCTGCTAGCCAGCCAGCTAGCACGCAAGCTAACATCGGCTAGCTGTCAGACAAGCGACATTTATTATGCAAACAAACTCACCTCATGTTTTCAACGTCTCTGCCCCCGCTTTTAAGGAAACACATGGGAATTGCAAGCAGCGCCAACACCATCATCCAGGCGACGTAAAAGAACTTTTTGAAATAAAATACAAACGTGCTGCTGGTCAACATCAGGAGTGGAAACAGCAGCAGCAGCGGCGGTGCCATCCATAGCACATCCATAGCGATGAAAGTCCTGCTGCCAGCTAGAATACACACACGCGGTTTTTGGGATGAAGACGCCGCTTAAAACACTGGCCGGGGCTACGATGCGAGCAGAGAGGGAAGCACCGCGACCCTGAAAACCATTACACAGTCAAAAGTAGTCCTTTAAGGGCACCCTGGCAATGGCTGTGCTCTTCTCTGCCCAAAAAGAACATGTACCGCTGCTCAATGCTCATCTGTTGCCTAATGGCATCAGAGGTGGAGTCAAATCGTCATCAGTTGTGATTTTTTTTTTTTTACCATTTCCGGTTTGCTGGACAACTATTTCAGATGTCACAAGCTACCAGATGTGGTAGAAGTACTCAGATATTTATGAAAGTAAAAGTAGTAATACCATAATACCAGAGTGTAGAAAAGTGAAATTCTTGCACTAAAATCTGCAAAAATAATAGCGTCAATATGCACTAACATTTTCTAAAACTATAACCAACATGCCGATTGGCCAATTAAAGAATAATATTGCCTACATGGTTTATTTATAATTGTTGATGCATACAGTACACCACTTTAATTTTGCAGCTAATAAATGTGTATGATGTGGAGCTAATTTGTAATTAATTAACTTATAGATGGGTTGCACAACATTTAATAATACTCCATCATTTATTAGAATAGCTGGGTCATTCTACAGAAAAGGTGGAATCTGGGTGATACAAATCTGCTGAAATATATTCCTTCTAAAAACATCTAAAACCTGTTAAATAGCAATAACTAACTCTTAACTTGATGAATCCACAACAAGTAGAGCTTAAAGTATTTTTATTTTTTTAATTATTTGTATACTTTATACAAAGCTTATTTGTATAGGAATGTCACTGGTGTTACGTGTTACCTGGGGGGTATACTACGAAGCAGGATTTTCGCTTAGCCGGCTAACTTCAGGGAAAACTCCGGCTTTCCAGTCCTACGACGCTGGTTCTCTTTTTAGCGGGCTAGATCTCCATGTTACTTATGCTGTGCGGTTAACCTGCCCCGGAGCCTGGGGGGTATAGGCCTACTACGAAGCAGGATTTTCGTTTATAGACATTTTTATTGATTGGGATAAACCCCTTGAGATGCACCATCTCGTTTTCAAGGGGGTCCCGACAATAGCAACAACTCAGACATACATAAACAAAAAGACAAAATGCAAAACATGACACACAAGACAAACCACATACAGTCTGTTAAGTAAAATTCAAGCGAAGCAATGCATACAATCATTACAATTTGAGACAGTCAAGCAAATCAGTTTCATCAATATCAGTTTCATTAATAACAAGTGCAGACCAGTTGAAAGTGAGATGATAATGCATGTTTAAACATACCCAATGATGCAAAAGATCTAATAGCAGCAGGTAAAGTAATCCAGTCAGTTGGGGCTTTGAACATGAACGCTCTTCTGCCAATCAATTTTTTTGCAGAGGGGACAGAGAAATAAATCTGAACAGAATGTCTAACTTGATGATTTGGTGAGTAGGGTACAAAATACTGCTTTAAATACGGGGGATAGTTAAGATAAATGCATTTAAATATCAGCTGAAGCCAATGCGTGTGTCTTCTTACGTTTAGCAAGATAACTTCTGGGATTTCCGGTACTACGAAGCTGGTTCACTTTTTAGCGGGCTAGATCTCTATGGTGACTTATCCTGGAACCTAGTCTGTGCTCCGATGCAGGATAGGTTCCAAGATAAGAGATCAACTCAGCGAAAGCACCACGCCTGCTGACCAATCAGAGCTCAGTGTGCGGAGGAAATACAGTTTAAACTGCCGTTGCAGGAAAGACGGCCGGCCAAAATCACCGACTGTGTGAATGTGAAAATGAATAGAACATCACATTCACCTCCCATCTTCAGAGCAATCTGACTATTATAACATTAGCGTTAAGAAAGCTTACTTAAATATCTGCCACAACATAAGTAACCGGATCAAAGTAACATTAAGTACAGTCCGCGGCAGGGACGTGCACAGACATTTGGAGGGGCTATTGCTCTAAACTGGAAAAAGGGCCTCCCCCCGAAAAAAAACATAAGACCAAAACTATTATTACATTATCTAATTTGAACAGTAATTCACATCAACATCTCATAACAAAATAAGCTAAGGCAACTACTTGCATTTGGTGACTTGATTTTGTAAATGAAAACGAGGGAAATGTTTTGTTTTGCGGTCCATATCTCATTAAAATATCTAATGTTAGTAAAGAAAAAATGGGGACAATTCAATGTAGTTTGACCATTGTAACTGCTGTGCAGACATACTGATACAATTGGGCTTCTATAATTACCTTAAATAAACTCACTAATTAATGGAACCAGTTCAATACGCATTATTCTTATTCTTATCATTCTTTATGAGCGCAGTAAATTACTTATTTATTCAGTGTTCCATAACTTAATTACAGAGATGGTCAAATTAAAGTAGAGACATGGCAGAAATCCTACAATGAAGCAGGACATTGAAGTGTCCTCCTGTGAGACGGCGATCAAGAAAAGAGAGCGAGTGGCGCATTGAGGGAGTTTACCATGGATGTTTAATAGGAGTTTACGGAGCAGATGAAAAGACACAGAAAGACAGAAGCACAATAAGTATAGGTGTTGTTTTGTAAATAACCGACGGTGTCAAGAGGAAGTAAATAATAGAACATAAATAATAAAAACGTTGGCCAACCTGGTTTAAAACACTTTTGTGGTCATGTGGAATGAGTTCACACTGAAACGAGTTATTCATTAAAAATGTCGCGGGCAATTACATAGGCTAAGAAGAAGGAGAAGAAGAAGTAAAATAAGTAGAAGAAGAATGAAGCTGGTGTGTTTCCCGCAGCGAGACACTACAATACTAATTGTGGGCTTATCATGTTGATTCGACCACAACAGAAAGAAAAAGAAAAACCTCTTGCTCTCTCCAGAGGGGCACGTCAGCCAAAAAGGGAAAACGGGCCGTTGCCCGGGCAACAATAGCCCGTACCTGTGCACGTCCCTGGTCCGCGGCACTGTGAGTGCAGACGTCGATGTGTCCCATTATCATTCATACCACATCACATCATTAATGTATCATTATATATTTCCTTATCTGAGTCAGCTGAGCCGTATCTGGCCGTGCAACACTCACAGTGTCACATACTGTATGCATAAGTATTATTTCAAGCAACACATTAAGTTGACGAAACACTCGAGACAAATGTAATTAAAGTCAGATCCACTCGTGTCTTGGACGGGGCATTATCATAAACCTGTTAATGTAAGCATTCAAACACTTTTTCTTTTACCAGCTGTATTCACCTTGCAGGTGCAGCTATGGCTTTTATCCTGGATAAATTGTTTAAGTCATGGATGTTTAAAGTTGAACTTCTTCATATTTGACTAATATTATAGTTGACTTTTCATTCAGGAAGTATGACGCTGCGCCAGGGGCGGACTGGGGGGAAAAAGTGGCCCGGGGATTAATTGACAGACAGGCCCACTTAATGCGCGGATGTATCGGCCGGCCAGCGACGAAAGTATGTTACTTAACAAAAAACCCTATGCATTTTATGTTATTTTGGACCATTATTCATATAGTCATCACATTACCTGAGCCCTTGAGTTGCCTAAGCAAAATAGTTACAGCATATATTTAGTGATTTTAATGTTAACAGATCATTGATGCAATAACATTTGGACCCAATTTGCCTGACTTGACGCATGGAATAAAACATGGGCGTAGGAAGCATCCTCAATGTGGGTGAGACAATTTGACAGGGGGTGTGGGCAGGTGGTGGACCTCACCTCCTCTAGGGGGGTCCGGGGGCATGCTCCCCCGGGAAGATTTGTTTTTAAAATGTTGAAGTTAAATGCATCAATCTGGTGCATTTTGAGAGCAAAATTAGGGACTAAATCTATGGATACATCTCTCAACACCAATATGAAACAGAACTGTAAACAGATTTACTTTTTCTTTCAACATTTATTTGAACAGCAAGTGGAGGCAAAAGTGACTGCACCCAGAAAAATAAACCTGCTCGCTAACTAGCCTAAACTCAGTAACAGAATGTGGGTTCTGAATGAACGTTCTTCTCCACAGCCGTGCGACCTCTGAGTCAGACGTCACTTCCCCCTTTTCTATCCTACGGGTGCAGCCACTCCCCCTGAACCCCGTTTTCCCCCCCCCTCCCCTATGCAAGCCTCTCCCTCTGAACCCAGGGCTCGCTACAATACTGTATACACATACACAACAACAAAAAACACTAGAGGGCAGGGCAACATACTTATAAACAATAAGCCCTGTCAATACTTCCCTCTCTACCCTTTTGGGTCTATAAGTGAGCTCATCCATGTGTTGCTTTTAAAAGGAGGAGGCTGGGTTGAAGTGGTTGATTTTGACATTGGGAGCAAGGTTGTAGAAGTCAGTCCCCTCTGGAAAAAATAGGGTGGCCTATGGGTGAGAGACAAAACATATATGCATGTTATGTACACATTATCGAAGAGATACTGACATCCACCTGAAGCCTTCATTAGAACAAATGTCATGTTTTTAATGTTGTTTAATAGTCTGCAATAATCACTAATTTATTAGTGTCAAGATTGGGAAGTCACATAGTAATAAATGTAAATGTATTATTACCTCACTGAATTAGTAGTTTCTGCAGCAGCTCACTTTTCTCTGCAACACCATCTATAATTTGGTCACTATCCAGCATCTTCAAAACATCTGGTTGAGTAGCCATGAGCATAAAGGACTCCAGGTTCTGTTGAGAGAGCGAGCTCCTGAGCCTGTTTTTGATGAATTTTAGTGTTGAAAAGCTTCGCTCGCATGCTACCTGTGTGACAGACAGGGTAAGCAGGAACCTGTATGCAAGGCCAATGATGTGGTATGCATCTGTCAGGAGGTTGTACTGCTTAAGGATACGGTAGCAACACAATGGGCAGTCCTTGCAAGATGAGCACTTTTTATATACCATCTCCGCTTCATCTTCAGCATCCTCTGGCCCAGCCTCTGTTGTCTTGGTTGTGTATTCCTCAAATACAGATGTCTTCAACCTATTCCACTGTCCTGCCAGACTGATGAGCTCACTCTGTAATTTGGCCACTGTTGCTCTGTCATCAAATGGCAGCAAGCACTTGCTTAATTCTTGGAGTGCTGCCTCTGGGAAACCACCGGCATAAGATGTTACCTGGCTGAATCTTTTTGGGTCCAGAAGTGCCAAATCAGCATACAAAGTGCCATTTTTGAGGAAGCGCTGGTGCA